GCAAGTACAACATCTCTTCATTACTTCTCTAAAGTATCTTTGGGACATTTGCATCTAGTTTCAGAGACATGCCCTGTCAATTTCTGGGGGAGAGTTTTTCTTAAAAAGAATTTCAATTCAAAAAGTGTTGCCTGCCTGCGAACACTAATAACCTCCCTGCTGAAAAAATTAATGAAACCTATGTATAGGCTCTGTCATGTCATGTCATGTCATGACGTCCATACAAATTTCTGGTACAAACAGACTATCTAGTACTGACTGTCAGTCAAGTCATCCAAACTGCAGTTTTCCTTGAAAAGCTGTGCACAAATTATATTCTAAATCTTATTATTAGTTATTAATAATTAATAGGTAAATATGCTGTGTAGTCAACTGTAGTAATGATCGTCATGGTTTGTTATTTAAAATAACCATTAGTGTACTGCCACATGTACATGTACATACAGAACTTTACATAGCTTGTGATAAGACCAACCTGTTTGACTCTTTCTTTTTCTTGCTCCACCTTTGTGTCAGAGATATTGCTACCCTTTACAGAGATCTCTTCGTCATTAGATGGGACATCTGGACCAACACCTGCAGGGTCCTCACCAAGAACAAACCACTCTTCATTGCCTTCCTGAAGGAGAAAAAAGATAAGAATAACACTTACTAGACTTGTTGACTACATCAAGACAAAGGACTTTTATTATATGGCTAGCTCTGTGGGCAGGCAAGATGAACCAAACCCCGGACTGTGATTGGCTACCCAAATGGGCAAGATGGATTACCTCCTGTGTCCTGGAGGAAAAATGTGTTCTTTGTCCAGATAATAAATCCTTCATTGACCAAGCTTGTTCGGTCAAGCTGGCTAAATTTTGGCATGTAACTTTATAGGACCTTCCATAAACACGCAAAAGAGAACTTGGCCAATATCCAGCCATCTTGACCTTATTCTTGGTCAATAACTCATATATAGTTAACAAGTGAGCCACTGGAAAACTCAGACTACTTCAACGAGACAATTGACTTGTAGTCCACTCAAAATTTAAAATGCATTACTACACATTTGATGCCAGTT